GGGGGGGGGGGGGGGGGGGGGGGGGGGGGGGGGGGGCGTTGGATGGATGGACAGCAGACAGACATGTGTGGATGTCATCTGGCCATCAGTCAAGCACAGAGAGAGAGAGAGAGGAGGGGTGAGAGCTCCAGGGAGGACCCAGGGTGGGGGCTCCAAGCCTAATCCCAAAAACAGCTGTGTGTGGGGGGGGAGGGAGGGGGTCCTGGACGTTGGGAGTTGGGTGCTCTCTCATGGCCCGTTTCATCCCCTGACCCCCACAACGTCAACAGCTCCTCCTGGGGCTCCGGCTCCGGCCTCCGTTTATGTAGGGGCCCCCAGAAAAAACAGCACCAGAAAACAAGCCCCGCTTCCACAACGGAGCCGTAAATCCAGCGGTCTGTCCAGCGGCCGGGCCATACTGGACGCAGTGTGAGCTGCCACCGACACGCTTTAAACAGCCGTCCAGAGAAAGAGCCGAAGAGCGGCCTCCTCCTCCTCCATCAGGAGGGGGTTATGTGCATGTTGGGTTTAATCAGGAGGTGCAGCTCCAGTTCATCTGAGAGGGAGAGCAGGCAGAGGTTCTGATCACGCCTTACCCAGAGGGCCTAACAGGGAGTCAGAACCCTACACATGCATCACATCTTGCTCTTGTTTTCTCTAAATCTCAATCGCCGTGAATGTGAATACACGGAGCAGCCGGATTTCCTCCCCCCTCCGGTGCCCTCAGATATGGATGCTGGAGCTGTGAATGCTGAATTTAAAAAGTGAGCAAGTATGCAAGGTCAGAGCAAACACCCTAAAAAAAAAAAAGAAAGTTTGGATCATTAACCAGTGGCCAACAATCATCTCACAGATGACCTCAGGGTCTATGATTTAGGTTATGCTCTAGACCAACTCAGCCGCGCACTATTAGGTTTCATTAGGACATGATCAGGAGGAAGAGCCAGGTGGAAGATGGTGTGTCTTCTGCCTACTTAACAGTAGGATGCCCTTTTTATGTTTTTGATGTACCCTTGATTGGAATGCCGGGAAAATGTGAGGTGTCCACATTTCTATGTTTCTCACTCTTCCTTTGGATACGGTGGTTTAGCCACGTGAGCCCTCAGGTTCCCAGTGACACCTTTTCTTCATTTTGTTTGACATGAGACTCCAACGCTCGATCCATGTCAGCGTTCAAATTCACACAGCGAGAAATATGCAAAGTGCCATTGGATTTTTTTTTTTTTTTTTACCTAAACTTCCAACAAAAACTAAACCAAAGCCGAGGTACAGCTTCTTGTGACGCTCCCCCAAGCTCAGACTGTGGGGAGGAAATCAGAAAAGAGTTGTCCAAAGTGAGGGATTTCCGACATCTTTTCAGCTCCCTGTGTCTCTGCAGTCTGTTTGCAGGCAGCGTGCCAAGGATGGCCTTCATCAGCGTGGGCGGGTTTATCTTCCTGGGAACCTACGAGAAGGTCCGGCGGGCCGTGCTATAGCCGGAGCTCCCCGCTGGCCGTCCTGAGCT